CAGAATCTTTGAGTTAGAAAGAAGCTTTAGAACCACCTAAAATAAAATTCCCGTAGTAAATTTGCAAATACTTTGCAAAAAAAATTTTCAGTGATATTTTTCAGGCCTTCTATCTAGCATACTGGTAGAATTATAAATTGGTATTTCTTTTCTATAAAGAAGCTTGACAGGATGTACCAAAGGCCTTATGTTTATTTCCTTTGAACCACTAATTTCTCTATGAATTTATCTCAAGAAAACAATTAAAGATATGTGTAATGATTTAGCCCTAAGGGTATTTATTGTAGCCTTATTTGTAATGAAAGGTTGGGAATGATCCAAATGACCAGTTTTAGGATTGCTTCAACTATTCTTCACCTCCCCATTCTGATTGCTTCCCTCTGGATTTTCTCATGTTGGTCTGTGTCCTTCTGAAGGTATGGTTCTTGGAACTGGACCCAGTTCTGCAAGGGTGATCTGACCTCACAAAGGACAGTAGACCTAGGATTTCCCTTAATGTGGACATGGAATTTCTATCAGTGGAGGCCAAATTTCTGACCATGATGATCTCTCTCTGTAACTGGGGCTGCCGAAACCCCAGGATTGTCAGCCAGTGCCAGTCTCCAGCCATGTTTGTGTCTTTTAAGGAGTGACAGTAACTGCTATTTGCAGAGATGGCTATTCATGGTGACTCCTTTTCTTTTCCTGACAGAGGCCCAGTGTTTCTTGCTGTAAGAGGGAATCTGATGCCAGCATGTGAGTCATACTCACTTGCTACTGTTCTTTTCTAGAGTTTTAGGCCACATGTTATTACACATCAGTACCTCACTTCTCCCTGACCAGCTTGCATTGTCACCCTGCCTCATCTACCATGCTGTGCTTGAACATAATGCTCTCTGAAATCCATGTGTCTACTCTGTAGTTTTGTGCTGCATTTTGAAAGAGCTGAGTCTGCTGTTGGTGTCCAGATTCAGGAAAGAATGCTGATCAACTGCTGGCAATAGTTAGTTTACTAAATCCTGTGATTGATTCTTGATTTCCATATTGTGTTGAGTATTTCCTATTGGCATATTTCTTAGTAATATTTTCTAAGAAAAGTGCTGTGCAAATGTTAGGTGTTTTTTTGACTTACCACAAATAATCAAGAGTTGTCAAAATAGTAAAACACTGACTTAGTTTTTCTTCAACTTACAATGCTTTAGGTTTGACAGGTTTGTGAAGCTCTTAGTTTAGCTCTGTTCTGTTTCTACACATACATCCTAAACCCTGGTATACCTATTCTTATGACCTCACAGTTACTTTTTTAAGGTATATTCAGTTATTTGGACATTTTAATTTGACTTTTCTCGCACTTAGCATTTCCAAATACTTATTGGTAATGGTGCACACTTTGTCTTCCTTTTGGAAAGTCACACTGCAGTTGAGCATGTTAAAGATGCTGAGAAATCCTGCAGTGAAGAAAGTTGTTCGCGTTTGCTAATACAACATTCCTTAAAAATTTTTGACTAATAAACCTTTTTTAACAATGTACTAACTAACATTTCATAGAAATATTGTTGTGCAGAATATCTTTGGGGAGAGGCATTGAATTTTCTCTACAGTTCATTTCCTCTGTCTTTTTAAGTATCCCTTTTTTTCAAAAGGTGTTACTGGAAGCTCGTTCTAGGCAGAACTGTGATGAGGGACCGGGTTTGCTTTCAGCTTCTTACCTCCTTTCTCAGTCCCTTCCTTTGCTGACTGGGAGCATGTCTTCAGCCCAGGCTTGGTTGTTATTCCTGCTGCTCTCTCTCCGAGGTGGCATGACTGGGCTGCTTCTCTCCTGGCTCCTTCTCTGGACTTATTTCTTCTTTTTTGTCAGAACTTGCCTATTGTATATATGTTTTCCATATGAAATGGGAAAGGACCAGGTCCTGAATTCATATCATAGTGTTGATAGAGGATGTGAGCTTAATGTGTTTTCCTTACCACTGGGGCTATTTGCAGTTTTATAGGGGGACACTTACTAAGCTGTGAAGCTTGATGGATGAGATGTGTATTTTATAATCAGAGAGAACTGGGGATGAACCTAGGTCCTACCATTTACTAGCTGGGTGACCTTGAATAAATGATTTAACCTGAGACTATGTTTCTTCATGTAAAATAGTGGACAATAGTCTATCTGATAAGGTTTTTTGAGGACTAAATAATATAATGGTTGTAAACCCAGGGCTTAATAATTAGTAGCTATTGTTATTATTGTTATTCAGCTATGATTCCTTTGCCTGCCATTTTCCTCCAACATTTTATTATGAAAAATTTAGAACATATAGAAAAGTTAAAATAATAGGACAGTGAACATACATAAACCTAGCACCTAAATTCTATAAGTAATATGTTGCTATATTTGATCTATCACATACAGGTTGAGTATCTCTCATCCAAAATGCTTGGGACCAGAAGTGTTTTGGATTTTGGATTTTTTTTTTTTTTTTTTTTTTTTTTTTTTTTTTTTTTTTTTTTTTTTTTTTTTTTTTTTTTTTTTTTTTTTTTTTTTTTTTTGGATTTTGGAATATTTGCATTGTACTTACTGGTTCAGTATCTCTAATCTGAAAATCCAAAATCTGAAATCCTCCAGTGAGCATTTCCTTGTTGATGCTCAAAAAGTTTCCAATTCTGGAGCATTTTGGATTTCAGATTTTGGGATTAGGGATGCCCAATATATATATATTCACTTATCCATCTCTTTATTCATCCTTTCATCTGTCTTATTTTTAAAATGCATTTCAAGATATGTTACAAACATCTTCACCCTAAATACTTCAGCTTTAATATCATCAACTGGAGTTCAGTATTTGTTAATGGTTCTTTTTCAGGGTGGGTAAAATCTAAATACAGTGAAATGCATTAACTATAAGTGTACCATTTGTTGTGTAATCCAGACCCCTATGAAGACATAGAATAGTTCTGTACCTCAGAAAGTTCCCCATGTCCCTGTCTAGTCAGTCCCTACCTGCACTCTTAACCATGATTATTGACAGTGGTTTTTAGAGCTAGAATTTCAGGCAATTATAGGCTAGTGATAGGAATATTTGGGAACTGGTGAGTTGGAGGATGTGATTCCTATCATACCACAGACTGAAGCTTGGTGTAGCTTTTCTACAAGAAATTTTATAAATTTTACATTTTCAAAAAATTTTGGTCAGTCATTCAGCAAACATTTAATTTCCAGATACCTTACTAAATGCTGGGGGAGACATTCTGGAATCAAGTGAGTATAGCAGAACATCATAGAGGTTCAGATAAAAGTAGGTACAGGGCATAGTGGAGGCACTAAGAAGGGAGTAGTTTAGTTCTTCCTTACTTGAAAACATAGGTAAGGATGGCCTCAGAGAGGAGGTAATATTTGAACTAAGTATTGTAAAAAATAAGTTTGTGTTTGCCAGGCATTAGTTCTTTGGAGAGTGGGAAAGGGTATTTCAGGGGGAACAGGGGCAAAGAGGAAGGAGGAGCTTTGTGTGGTGGCGAATGGTTTTACTAGGCTGGAGCAAAGACTGCAAAGACAAAGCTAGAGTTGTGGATAGAGAGGACTTTGCATACCATGCAAATGGTTTGTGTTTATTCCTGTTACCTGGGGAGTAATTTAAGAAGTTTATTCATTTATGAAGGGTCAAGAGAGAAATTGTCAAGCAATGCAGTTAGATGCTTAAGAATGTTTTATGATCAAATCAAAATCATATTTCTTCTTTATGTTATTAAACTAATTTTATATTTGTATCTTGACTCTTCTATTTATCTCTCCAAAATGACAGGTAGTGTGCCAATATTTGAAAAATCCTAATGAATCTGATTCACTGCTGGTACAGAATATTTTCCTAGCTCTGAACGTGTATTACAATTACTCAGGCCAGGCAAAATGCCTGAATATTTCAAAGACAGCAACTAGCAATCTGGGATCCCTGGGTTGGAGCTATCAGGTAAGTATGTATAATTTCCCCAAGTGGAACTTACTTTTCACTAATAAAGTTGTGCTATAACAGAGAGTACACAAGATCTTGTCACCTAATCTGGATCCAATTCTGTGCTCTGTTACCTTACTTACACTGTGAGACCATGGCAAATATATATTGAATGCTTACCGTGTATCAAATACTATTCTAGGCTTCAAAGATACAAAGATACATAAATAACATATGATCTCATCATCAAATATACCTGGTGACAAGGATAGGTAACTAGACTAATATTACAGTAGGTCTTGATAAGTGCTATAAAGGAAACATTTTATGGACACAAAAGCAGGGGAGTCTAATTTGACTGTCTCTAAGCCTCCATTTCTTCATCTATACAATGAGACTAATAATGATACTACTACTTTCCTTCCAGTGTTATTTTGAGGGTTAATTATGAAATAAAGCAGTTTACAGAGAAGGAATACATAGTCCTATCTTCTGTGACTTCTCAGCCAAACCTTTCTATGAATAGTGAGAGTTTGTATGATATAAAAGTATAGAGTAGGGGCTGTGAAACTAGATTGCCTGAGTTCAAACCCTAGCTTTGCTAGTTACTAGCTGTATGACCTTGGACAATTTACTTAACCTCTTTGTGCCTCATTTTCTCATTAGATTCTCTCCTGGTTTGCTTCTTAGGCCTGCACAGAAATGGTCATGCCCTTTTGTACTAATGGTGTTGATGACATGTTTGAACCTTACATGTGGAACTTGAAGGAATTTTCTGATAACTGTTTGAAACTGTGGGGTGTGAGACCAAGACCCTCCTGGATCACTACTATGTATGGAGGCAAAAACATTAGTTCACACACGAACATTGTTTTCAGGTGAGTTTTTGTTGGTCCAAAGAGGAACTTTGGTTGATGGAGACATTTGTAGAATAGATGGGAAAATAGAACCAGGAAAATGCTGGACAGTAAAACAATATAGAATATAACAGTGGTACCCATCATGTTTTCCTGTTCCTTGAAAGACAGAGGACACTGAGAACAGATATGATTTTATGCTCTATTACCAATGTGCTTAAAGGCTTAAAAACAGCACCAAACGTAAAACATTAAAAAATTTCTCTAAGCACAAAATGAAGCATCATCAGTTGTTCTCAATTTGTCTTATTTTTATTGCTTTTGCTCTTAATGATAATAAAAATTTTTCAGTATTTATTCAATAAACATTCTGTTCCAGGTACTGCATAAGGCACTTTAAATAAATTACCTAGCTGAATCCTCACAATAACCCTGAGAAGTAGTTGTTACAGTCCTTTTTTAACTGAGAAGGAAACTGAAGGTCACTGTGTTTAGTTACTTGCCAAACACCACCCAGGTTTGTTCTGGTTACTAACTGATAAAGCAAGATTTCTGCCTCAGACTGAATGACTACAAAACTTATGTTTGTTCCTTTATGTTACACCACTCTTTAAAAATCACATATTTAATTCATTCTTTTTTATGGCTGAGTGGTATTCCATTGTGTATATATACCACATTTTCTTATCCAGTCTTTTGTTAATGGACACTTAGGTTGATTCCATGTCTTGGCTACTGTGAATAATGCTGCAATAAAATGGAATGCAGGTATCTCTTTGACATACTAATTTCCTTTCCCTTGGATATATGTGCAGTATTGGGATTGGGGGGTCATATGGTAGTTCTATTTTTAGTTGTTTTTTTTTTTTTTTTTTTTTATTTTTAAAGATGACTGGTAAGGGGATCTTAACC